TCTGTTAGTATCAAAAGGCGAGAGCTTATTTTAGAATCTAGTTTAATTCAGATCTTTATACTGTATCAATTATAAAACTACTAGAAAATACAATATCCCTTTAAAAGTTACTCTACAGTGGATCATCTTCAAAAATATTTATCGCTGGTTTCAATATGTTTCCAGCATCACGGAGGAGAACTTCTGGCGGAACTATTTCTACCGCATGTCGCTGATCTGCCAGGCTAACGAGGCGGACGCGGCTGCTGGACGCCAGAGCAGCGCCGAGGACTCCCAGGGTATGATGACCAGACATTTTATCACACATACTCTCATTACAATCTTTATCATTTTCCCCATTACTAAGATTGTGATCATGAATTCAACTTAAACGTAAAGATTGTAAGAAATAGACGGTGTTTATTAAATTATTTCATTGTTTTTATACCAAGACAGTGAAGCTATGCCGCAAAGATAAAAGAATCCTTAGTGATTCTGTTCTTGTCTTGTCAAAAAACTTAATATCACATAGACAGTGGATTTTAAACATCTATTGATCCCAATACTAGTTTTCAGTCATGATTTTGTATTTGGATTAGAACAATAGTAATTTAACAGCAAATTTATATTAACAACCGCAAGTTAAATCAACTTGCATTAGACTCAACTACATCATAGAACATTAGATCATTATCCCGACTTAAGTTTTTCATTTCCCTTCATTGATTTCGATTTTGGTTATATTATTTCCTATTTTTATTTTGTTCCCAAATTAGACGACGATAAATCGGCAAGCGACAATCTGATAGCCAATGAAAAATCGTCACAAGAATCGATTGATGACGTCAAGAAACGAATAAAATCATTGAAAGTCGATAGAGAAAATGAAGATGGTAAGACATGAACTTTTTAGACCTTTAACATCGATATTTTGTCCAACACTATTGATTTATATAACACTAATGTTATTTCAGTTAATTAAAGCTTTTGACAAGGGAGATTTCAAAATCTTAGACGATATTTTAAGTATTATTTTAATCACTATTTTAAATGTTTATTTATTTATCTGTCCGCTATTCGTTTTTTTTCATTTATTGTTTTAAGTTTTCACACACATGGCCATCATATTTAGTTGTTTTATTTCGTTTATCATGAATCGTTTCGCTAGTACTAACACGTGACGTCGCGATTACATTCCTAAGTGACTCGGTACCAACTTTGAGGAATATGTTGCATTGCATGCTCTGTTTATGTAAATATTTGTCTCGCTACACTTTTTAACGAAACACTTCTTACCAATTTACACGAAAAACTCTTTATCGAACACAAATCGATAGTAACTAGAAGCGAAAATACAGTCGATATCAATACCCCATCAGCATCACCCACTAATGTTAATCAATGATATGTTTGTGGCTAAATGCATCTCTTTCTTTCCCTGGAATGCAGCTTAAAGGAGGTGGCGTGCAGCACCACCGTACCGTAACACCACTGTTCTATATATTATTCATTAATTATGGTCTAGCTAGATATTTACTAAGGGAACTAGTGTATTCTCGAACATTCCTTGTTACTACAACTTATATATTGAAAGTTTAATCTTAAATTGCATTGTAATCATCATCGTTATCCCCAGAATGAGCACCAGTATTGATGATAGGTTCGAAGGTTCTAGACCGTTTGGCAGGTCTCTGTATAGAAATCGGGTAATGTATAGAACAGTACACGTCTAGTGGATACGATGCTTGCATCAAAGAATGTACTACGCTATTATCTTCATGAGAATTGTTCCGATCTTGATAAAATAATGCCATCACGATAGCTAGTGGGTACGCACATATATTTAGATATTTACTTTGAACAAGTAGCACGTACTTCGCTACTGAACATAGTATATATAGCCCGAGCTCTGAAACTCCTGTCCTATATACCTACTTACGTTACCTCGACTCGCCAACACATGGCATTATTATGTCAAGCCCACGTCACTGTTAATCCTCTCACACATAAAATATAATTTCAAACGTTATTACTTATATAGAATTTATCGCTGTTCACATTTATTATTTGAACTCTTAAAGATATATCACTGTGTCATATCTTCATCCTTGTTGTTATCTCGTGTGTCGTATATATATATAAAGTGAATGTTATATGACAATATAGCTTTTCTGTCCTTGTAATAAGGACTATAATAACTGTATATATAACCATGTATTTATTTAATATATCTGTTGTGTCTCTGGTAGCACACTGGTCTGTATCTCAATGGCCGGCAGCATCGGACAGTAACACCAACTGTTCAAATCGCTATTGACGTATAGACCACTACGGTTGAATTGTATACTTGTCTATAAATGAATAAAAATCAAAGTTTTCTCAATGGAACCTATTTTAATGTCTACTAAATGTTATATATGTCTAAGTATTGACTAAGGTTATATAGCTGGTAATATCACACAGTTCATTAATTCGGCTCAGTAGCGTTTAATGTAAGTATGTATTGTTCAGGTTTTGACATTGCTACCTGTATATCAACCCTTTTACTTGAGCTTTATGGTCTATTATTGCTTGTTTGTCTTGTGTTTTATTTATCTATCCGCTTACATATTTCTCAAAGTTGGTCGTTACCTCTTGGCGTTTTGATTTCACTGCCTTCTTGTTTCCTCCGTAGCAATGTTGAAACTTTAAATCTTTTTGTACATATACTTGTGTTGTCAGCCTTCTGAGATTTCATCGTACTTTAATGATTTTAAACAATTTGGACGTGCAAGTGACAATGGACCTTATATACGAATACATAGAGGTCTTGATTGAGAAGGGTATTATTGGTATGCGTGATCATCTACTGGTTAAGAGTAAAGTTGTAATTAAGGAAGCAGGAACCCTGACAGCCGCGACATATCACTTATGGGTGACAGTCAATTATACTTCCACACAAACTGCCGTCAAACTGACATTTGGAACATTTACTGACAACACAGTCTCTTCCCAGTTTGTTTTGTAATTATTTACAATTAGCATTAGGTATTATATTAATCAGGAGAATAATCCAATGTTATTAAAGTTGTGTAGAACTAGGTGGACTCATTTATGATAGAGTTTGAACGTTGAAACGATTCACTACTGGCCTAGTATGCTGTCGCCCGGGTTTGTTTGTACTTGCGTTGTTGCTGGAGGCTTGATGTTGGCACATTCCTATAATATATGTATTTATTACATCGAGTGAACGGCCTCTATGTCGAATAATATGACTACAAAACCATGTACAATGTTCAAAGTTGATTTATTTATTACCAAATAAAAGCATTTATGATACCTCCAATGAATTCCAAGTTGTTAATAAGTTATTTTAATTTCAACGCCAAGCCTCTCGCAAGCCCACTGAAACTGTTGAGCAATAAATTAGAAGTGATTATAATCGTAATTTGGTGTCCATTTAATCATAGTCCTGATAAATACTAAATATTTTGGCTATATGTGTATCTTTGCGACTTACATACATATTGGGAGTGGCGTAGCCCTCCCTCCCTCCTCGTAGGACCTCCGAACATGTGTCTCATGTAACTAGCGACAGTATAATATTCTTCGACACTCAAACAAATGTTAGAGAAATTACGACGTATAGTTTAAATGAAAAATTGGCATTTATAGTTAGTTATTATGAATTGAAATAATTATATTATTCTAAAATAATATTGGTGTTGTTATTTTAGATTTTAATTGTAGATAGTGCCTGATTTTTTTTTAATTTTATGACAATGCCAAAAGGACTAGTCGTTTCGACATAATATACATTAGTCCCAATAAAATCTTTTTATTTTGTCATAAAGAGTAAGTATTTGATAAAAATGGTGCAAGTGCTAAAAAGATATATGTAAGTAAATCCCACTCGAAGGTTGATATTATGTAACAAATGCGCATACATAAATAAAAGCAGATTTAACTGGATGTTGCGTTATCGCATAACATAACACATCAATATTATCGAAATGAATTTTTATATTGGTGATGAGAAGACATATGTATATCTTAAGATAAAATAATGCTAAGTTAGCGTGAGTTATAAAATATATCGAAAAAGATATCTTAAAGATAACCTTAAAACGTATTTTGTTATTACACTTATGTCATTGTCAATATTTACTCAAAATGATGGAATACTAATAAACATTTAAATTACTTGCAAAGAGTGCATTGGATTTAGATTAGATTTGAAAATACTTAGGTTTTTTAATATTAGGATTGCGTGATTTAATGCAGTCGAATCCTACTTTAGTTTTACAATTTTTGATTAGGAATTTGATGCTCAAGATACAAAGAAATATCTAGTCAAAAGTAATGTTTTTAAGTAAGTAAAATGGAAATACGTAGGGAAAATTAATGAATTAATGCATAACTTTTGCAGGAATTTTAACTTATTAATTTTGATATTTAAATACAATTCTAATTGACCTGTTTTTAGAACAATGGGAGAAAGAGCTTGAAGCCGAGCTGAATGAGTACGAGGTGGTAGCAGACAAAGCCGGGGACGACAAACAATGGGAGAAGGAATGTGAAGACCTACTCGGAGACGACATGGACCTCAAGTAGACCACAGTCTACTGAAAAGACCGGAGTAGACCATGAACTTATCAAGCTGCGCAACTCACGATAGACTGGCCCTCTAACATAAGATGATTAGTTTTTAATTACATCGTATTTTAGTAAGCTTTTTATATGTTGTTACGAATTTTAATTTTAATGATAAATGAAAATTTGGGATGAATTTACTATGAAAATTAATTTCTTTTGTCAATAATAGGGGCCGGTCGTATGTAAAGTTGTCAAACAGAGCTCAATTAAATTCTTATGACATTAAATAAGGGTGCATTGACCTCACAACGCGGCGCGTGTGTATATGCTTGTGATTCCACTCTTGCGCACGGTGGGCCATAGAGGCTGTAGGGGTGTCAGAGATTAGATAATGCGTGTCTGATTAGATTCAGCTGTTACGTAGATTGTAGTTATATTTACACAATCCTGAACTTAGTGCAGGAGATAATTAAAAATATAGAAAATGTTTTATCTTGTTTTACTAATAGCTATGTGTAACTACTGTTAGCACAGTGCCAATATATATGCCTATTTGCACATGGAGAAATATTAAGCATTGATCATCATATTGTTTGGAGCAAATTATTAATTTTATATATACTTCTATTGTGTATAAGCCTAAGTTCTTCCTTACTGTATTTTTCTTAACATACCTTATGTAGTCTGTATAAAAGAAAAGTACATAAAAAGTCTTTACCTATGTAACAGCGCAAGGTACTGTCTTGCGTATACTGGACTAGGGCCCATATGTGCGATATTGTGTTAATGTACTGACGATTACCTACTCTGTGCTTTGTCTCTTGATTTGTGTTTGAATAGATGTTTTCTTTCTTTCGCAGTGACATTGAAAGGCGGTTTACATAGGGCCCTAATATACAATATATTGAAATATAAATAACCGGCAGCTTTCTAACCACCAACGATATTTTTATCATATAAATGTAGTATCTGTGCAAAGATATCATATTTCAAGTAATTACTTTAATATGTGACAGGGGAAATAACATTATTAATATGTCATTTGGATGAAATTCCTGTGCAGATAGGAGGAGATAACGTTTATTGCAATATTATTATATATGGCTTTATTGTTTAATAAGTCACTGAAATAGAACAAAAATATGATATATATGTATTATATATGATAGTGAAGGATAGACAATATCTATATATTAGTGATAGTATGTGTGGTATGGTATTTACTTGGGCTGCAGTCTTGATATTAATAGATTTTCAACTTTATCTTTAAGTAACAAAGTTTAAAATTCATTGATGGAGTTTTGAAATTTGGAGACAAAAATGTATCGAATTTTAGGCTTGGTCAAAAGTCGGTGTTACATCTAATATATACACCTCTGTCTATCCCTTTGGGGAGTAAAGGTCGAGATGTTATATTGTAAAGTATGGCCCATTGGATGCAAGAGTTCAGGCCTAATGCTTACGTTACAAATTGTATCTAAATTTAATTCTTATAAGGGCTAGTTTGCCTTGCCCTGTAATTTATGGGTATGTCAAATAGCTTTTAGTCTAATAAAAAATATTTCATCTTTATAATGCTATTATGCAGTGGGTCTTTGGTATTTCGATACTAAGCTGATGCCAATAATAACAAATATTGGATCGACTTCCTAAGTCAGGCAAAGTGAGAATTAGAAATCGTCTATCGAACCACTGAGCGGTCAATAATGTGTTGATTCTAAGACTTTATATTTATAACATTGTCAATATACAAATGTGTAGTGGAAAAAATGACTCAAAAATATGGTTTTGCAAAATCATTCGTGTTTTCTTAATGTACCGTGAATTGCTGATGTAATATTTCAGTTTCATAATCATTTCTTAAGTACGTACAATAAAACCTACTGTGTTAAGACAAAGTTTTCCTCAATACAAAATTAATCTTAAAGAGAAGTAGTTTGGATAATCTATGGAATATAAAACTAATCCGTTTTTTTGTGGACGCACCACAATATACGCGATATTGTATTTGTAAACTAGTAGTTTGCCGGTATTGCACGGATGCTGTTCGTCGACTGACCCGCGAGTATTCGCGTTCGTCAATGTATAGGTGCTTGGTATTTTTCTATATGAAGATGCACAGACGGATCACTTAATAATAAGCAATCGACGCCCGTAACACCAGACGTATTACAAGTGTGTTACCGGCCTTTTGAGGATTGGGAATTTGAGGATTGTTGGGCATTCGGATAATGGGAATTACCCCCCGTAATTGGGCCTCCAGCAATCTTACTCACATGACGAAACAACGCAAGTGTTCGGGTCGGATTTCTGTGAGGCCATGGTGATGATTGGAGGTATCTCCGGTCAAGCCGGCCCATTCGTATTTCAAAAACTACTTTTAAACTGCGCATTTTCATTGTTAATATATACATGTAGATTACATTTATTTTTAAATTCAAAATTATTCCTTAGTAGATAAATAAATTAGGTACCTGTCATATTATCAAAATTATTCTTTAATTAATAGGTACATTCACCTACTACCTCCAAAAGCCTGACTGCCAGATATATCTATGTTTATTTAACGACTCTGGAAAAGGTTGGAATTTGTTATTTTATTTTATATTAAAAGTGCATTTACAAGGCGCTAGACAAAAAATATTGTGCATTTTGAATTGTTGCTAATACTATTGTGTTAGGCAGTGTTTATGTTCATTACTCTTTAACTATAGGAAAATTATAATACTTACTGCCGATTTATCTTATGACTGCTGTATTGTGTCACATACCGTGCATAAATAGTTTTTTCATAACTTTCTTACGTTATCACGTATTTATTAACAGAGCTACACTGTCAAAACTACACTATATCTATCGACATCTGATTAAATGAAAGGTACAAACCACACTGGCTGCACGGAAGCTAAAGAAACCAAGTTTCTGCCACAGAACCGGTTTAAAAACAATTTATATAAAAACTAGACCACTTCATTTATTTGCGCCAGTATTCTGATACTTGCTTATTGTTGATAAAAAGGCAAAAAAGCACCATATTTAAAAGTGCGACAAAAAATACACAATATGGCATTTCAAACGCGGTGAATCGTTGAAATGTAGAGTTTAAGCAATGCAAAATATAAAGAAATCAAAGAGACATGCTTCGGCACGAATGGGCATGTCTCGACCAGGGTTATGCCACGACCTCACTGAAAACCGGCGTGAAACAACGCTTCCGTTGTGTTTCGCTGTAGAGTGAGTTTACCGGTAGCCTATCCTTCTCCGAAAATGCCAAGAATTCACTTGTAAGTCTTCTCAGTCTGGTGTTTAGGTGTTGCTGATTGTCACTTAGTCTATATACACCTTTATATATAAAATTCGGGACAATATTGCGTATATGTCATATATATATACCTTTCTCGTGCAAACAAATCACCCGCTTCTCTTATAAAATGGTAGGTAAGGTAGGCCTAATCACATCTTGATTTGATACAAGTAAAATTTTCAAAACGATTAGGCAGTAAATTATTATAATATATATAAAATACCCATCATAAAAGTAGCAATAAACGATAACAGCGCCATTGTTTCCTCAAACACTCGCACTTATATAAGATTTGCTAATAATTCTGTAACAATTTTTATATGCAATAAATTATAACTAATGCTATAATAAAATGATAACTTCAACGACTGCATCACGTGAATCAATAATTGAGGAAAATTCGTCCTTTCAGCGTGCCAGTAGACATTCACGGTCATTGATAAAAATGTGAAAGATTTTGTATTAATCTCTACTTAGTAAACACATTGTGTCTCACGTAGATCCACGATCCAGCATGCCACGGGTTTACCTTATATACAATTATAGATGTATAACAAAAACTGTAAAATAGGACAAATAGTGCACAGTTTGTCACATAATATAACTATATTAAAAGCTCTAGATTTCTAAAATAAATATTTATCTGTCTTTGTTAAACAGCTTGCCCAAATGTGAGATATTTGTCACTTACTTGACACTTGTTTTACCAAAGTAATGAATGACAAACAAATTGACAATGTCATTAAATTGTATGTAGATATAAATGTAAAGTTATGTCGTGTTCGTTATATCTATTGTAAACATTCCTATTTAATTGAAATTAAAATGAGTGTTCATCTCGATTTGTGGTGTTTTATTTATTTTTTACAGGGATCAAACTTATTATTCATCATGGTCATATTAGCTACATGCTTCTACTGCTGATTATATTTTTATACCACCCACAATTACTTTCATATCCCGATCGGATCAGTTTTGTCTTTTGTATGTACACAAGACCACACATCAACCTATACAAAACCAGTTTACCCTGGTATCGAGTTGCATCATCTTACCGCACATTTAACGTTCAGTTTATACTGGTTATGCAAAGCTCGATGTGTACTGTACATATGATTTTAACACTAGGTATATATTGTTTGAAATGAGACTTGCTTATAGCTCCTCCAGTTAAAGCTACACATATAAAAAACATGTGTGTAGTCTCATATGAATAGAAACTTGTACTAATGCATATAAACACGTACCTAGGTATGTATTAAGCTTCATACTGCTACTGTATGATCCTGTCAAAATAGCTGACAACGTCGACAACGACGGCTCGACCGGAGTTATACCACGGCCTTACAGAAAACCGACGTAAAACAATACTTAGGTACGTGTGTTTCGTACTGTGAGTAATCTTACCGGAGGCCCAATTACCACTTCTCAATCTTCCCAATCCTCGAATCCCCGACGATCCTCAAATTACTAATCCCCAAAAGCCCGGTAACGCACTTGAAACAATGAAACTAACAATGTTCATAGATTTTAAGATTAAAAAAAAAAATTAGCATGCCATATGGTAGAATGTCCCAGGAACGATGTACCTTTGTAACACCTTATATTATGTACCTACATTCAATGCAAATAAATTATTCTATTCTATTCTATTCTATTCTAAACATCTCTCGTGTTTCGGGGTCCATGAGCGGCGTCGATTGCTTACCATCTGGTGATCTGTCTGCTCGTTTACCGGCTTATTCCATAAAAAACTGAACAGATATATAGGAAAAAGAAATGATTAGGTTTTAGGTACTTATTGAAACTTTCTCCTAAAAGGAAAATATGAAACACTAAAATATTTCTAATAATAACAATAGTAGGCAAGTGGTATCATATTTCCATAAAACAATATGATTATTTTATTATTACCTACAATTTATATTGTATAAGTACCTACTCAAAGATAATGCTAAATGTAGGATAATACCAGCAATATTTAGCTCTAAAATTAATCTGATAGGAAAAACTCTTAAGCCGGACCCGTGGTAAAAAATAGGTAGTTGCCAAAAAATACAGGCATAACTTTGTTATCAACTTATCATGTTTTCTTTGTAGAAAATCATGTGGTTTTTTAATATATACCTAATTCAAATACTTTAATTGTGTCTTATTAAAGTTATCTCCAAAACGGTTTTTGATATAAATAAAGAGTTGCATACTTTATATTGTTTATATAATTTGCCCTGTCGTGATAAATATTTATTAATATTGGTTTTCTGACCTTTATTTTTATTGACAAAATTGTTAATAGGTAGCATTGTGGTTTCACTTAATGTTTCTTAAAATATTGTAAAGATTTTTAGGATTATAAGGATGCATCCACATCTGGCTAATGTGCACTTCGCGAGCCATTTGCGAAGCGCGTGCTGATAAACTTATTTATACGAGCCTTGCATGTGGGCGCACTAAACCATTGCCGCGACTGCACGCGCGCAGCTCACAAATGGATCGCAATCTGCACATTTGCGGCACATTCATCAACTGGGACGCACCTTTAGGATTAAAAATAAATTAATCTAATCATATATTAACAATTTAGTGATTTAAAGATTAAAACATATAAGCTCTATTGCCCTATATTAGTATTCATTAAATGGAATATTTATCTTATATAATGACGTCACAATACAGTACCTTTTTCATTAAATGAATAAGATATATTATTAACGAAGTACTTTGTCAGATAAAAATTGTAGTACTACTGCGTATTTTTATTTATAAGTAAGTTTATTGATGTTATATCTTTAGTATATATATTGATTTATATATACAGCACTGCATTGCTATCAGGATTTGTGCTTGATATATATTGACGTCAAATATCGTCCCATTGTATTAGTAATGCAAGATATATTGTTGCCGCTTCCTCAATTATGTTTATTTTTGCGTTATCGGGCTTAAATGAGTGAAAGAGAAATTTTTATAGAGAGTTTTATTGAAAGAGCATAGCATCACGCCTTTTATCCCCGAAGGGGTAGGCAGAGTTGCACATTACCGCACTTAACGGTGGGTGTTACATTGTATAGTGGCACTGTACAATGTAACACCCACTTTTCACTATTTATGTTACGAGTCCCACGTAATTATTGAAAGAGCTGCATATAGAAATAGTTTCTACTTTTCTGGTTAGATGGATGAAGGATAACATCAAGCCTTTGTTACGTAAGGGTAGTCTGAATCCTGAAACTGAATCAGGTATAGGTACCTACAAAGATATCAGCTACAAGACGTCCTGCTGAATGAAGTCCTCGTCAGGGCAGCTGCTTGGAAGCAACCGGTATCGAGCGTACCGATTTAAATGAAATGTGTAGTTCTTTAGTCGACTCTTATAACACAACATCAGGCCTTTTTATTCCCGAATAGGTAGAGGTCCACATTACGGCACTTAATGCCACTGTACCATGTAACACCCGCTTTTCACTATTTATGTTATCAGTCTCATAATAAGGGGTGAGCCCATTGCATTACTGCTACTACTTGATTTTTTTAATACCCAGTAATAGTTTGCCAGGCCAGGGAATCAAACCCGAGACCCCTTGCCCAGCATTCGCACTTGCGACCACTCGGCCAACGCCGAGGCAATAGAGATGATGATAAACGTATTCTTCTCTGTAAGATCAACATACGACTTATACCTCGTGTGTTCATAAGTTTTGAGACAAACTTTTTGCTTATAAAAATAAATTAAAAATTACTGGCTGCTGTATATTTCTTTTTCTAATTTTGAATTTGGAATGTTAACTTTTAATATCTATGATTTCGGATTATTTTATTTAAATTTTCTCGTAATGGAGGGAACAAAAGAATTACGTGCGACCGTCATTTCATTATTTAAGGTGGGAAGAAAACCTATGGACATTTTCCGAGAACTGAAAAGTTTTGGTGTGAGCC